AATGTCGTGCCTTACCACGAATCACCTGCGATCAAGTCAAAGTGGTTGCGAATTATTCTCGTGAAACAGTTTGACGCGACTCACATCTCCTCCTCTCATCCCCTCCACCCTCCACACACACATCTTAACAGTCTTAGCTACCGCGCTCAATTTTGTACCTAATTTCGTAGACTAGGCAACTTAGTATCTTGCCGATGGTTTAGTATGTTTTACCTCTAGACTACGCAACTAAGTACCTTGCTGATCGCTTAGTATGTTTTACCTCTAGACTAGGCAACTTAGTCCCTAGCCGGCTAGATCGAAATTTCGCGAAATTGACCTTCGCGACGAAATCGCGAATGTCAATTTCGTGCTGGATTTTTTTTTCCGTTCAGCCCGAAAAAAAACCTGCCAAGCGTCCTCCGTCTTGGCGTCCGTCCTGCGTCCGGCGTATTTTGCCACATAGCGTGACACCGCCCTGCAGTTCGGCGGTGGACCAGAGTCGCTGAGTCTGGCGGCTTCGTGGACGCCGACGACGCGGGCAACAAGCAGAACCGGACGAGCATGGGCGGCTACGTGTTCGTCTTCGGAGGGGCCGCGGTCTCTTGGTCGAGCCAGCGCATCAAGTGCGCGACACTTTCGTTGACCGAATCGGAGTACGTCGCGGCCACGGAAGCCGGCAAGGAAGCCCGTCGACTACACTTCCTCGCAGAGTTCCAGCTGCTCGACGCTGGGACGCCGACCGTCCTTCAAGTGGACAACAAGTCGGCTATCACAATCGCTGAGGGCTTGGGTCGAAGGGGAACCTCAAGCACATGGAGTGGCGATACGCCTAGCTGCAGCACATGGTGAAGCGCGAGAAGTTCGTGCTGAAGTACATCCCGACCACCTTGCAGCCGACCGACTTCCTGACGAAGGCGCTGCACTTTCCGGCCTTCAACCGGTGCTCTGTCGCAATCGGCCAAGTGCGCCTGGCCGACGTCAGTGACGAAGACAATGACGTGCAGGAGTAGGTGCCGTACAGGAGTAGGTGCCGTGCCCTTTTGCACGGCTGGTGCGGTGACAGCGTACTGTGTGTGGGGTGCACGCCGACGACGAGTTTTCTCCGTGTAGTTCTGCCGCGAAAAGTGGGTGTCCAAGCGTGAGCGCAGCAGGGGAGTGTTGACGGGAATAGAGTGTTGGCCCCGCCCTCGCTTGGGCGAAGCTGACTGCCTAGTAGGGTGCGCGGGAGAAGCAGTCGACCGTCTGCAGAGTTCGACGCATGCACGTCGACAGAGTTGGTCGGACCTGCAGGCGACCGCTGCGACACCGCCGTCGAAGAGAAGTCGGCGGCCTTGTTCGACAGGGGAGGTCGACAAAATAGTTCGTCGACCAGCGCGGGGCTATCGCGGAGCCGTCGACGGTAGGAGATCGATGGCTGCAGCTGATCGGCATGGTCGACGTAGGAGTCTGTCGACCTGGGTGCTCTTCGACGGGTAGAAGTGGTCGACGGGGGAGATCATCGACTAGGACGCTAGGTGGGGAAGCCCGGTCGACCAGTTTACCTCAACGAGGTTCTGCGGAGGCACGCGGCCGTCGTCGAGGCTACGATGGCGAAGGCGACTCGGGCTGGTATCCCGAGGTCGACGTGGAGCTCAAGCTCATCTGTTGGCACGTGGCCGACCAGGCACCCGCGCGGCAGTGCACGTTGTGCTCGACCATCGCCGCGCACCTGCGAAGTGGGTGCGCACATGTGTTATTGTCATCTGTGGTTGCAACGCTGGCAGACCGCTCTGCAGCAGCGTTGGCAAGCCGCCCTGATGCAACGTTGGCAAGCCGCGGACTTGTTTTGTTGGCAGGTCGCACATCTGCAACGCTGGCGCGGTGCCTCTATGCGACGCTAGCAGACTGTCGACCATGCTGCGCTGGCGGTCGACCAGCTCGGCTGCAAGGTTGCTAGGCTCTGATGTTGTCATTGTTGCATTTGTCATTCTCAACCATTGTTGTTCTCAGCTTCTGCTAGTGAAACGTTTGCCAGTGAAACTCTTGCAGTTTTACCCTGGAAACGCACAAGCTCTAGAGATCACTAAGAAACGCTACGATCTCTCCTAGAACCGTGCCTTCCCCCGTAGTCTAGCTCCCACCATTGTAGAGTTTATCTCAGCAGAAAGAACATTGTCCACACGATATAAGACAAATTCCAACCCTACCTCTCCCTCCCTGTATGAGTGAGGGGATGAATAGGTGAACGAGCAAAGTGAGGGGCAGTGATTTACCCGAGGGGGGTGGAGGCTGCACCTGATCCTCGTGCTCTGAAGGGGGGTGCAGACAAAAAAGTCGATATGGGGTTGGTGGAGACGAGAAACAAATCTGGGTTAAGAAGTATGGGGACCAACCGGAACCACCTGGAAGAAATGGGAGTTACAAAGAAACGAGGACCAAAGGAGAGGAAACACAGGGGGAAGCACGGGCAGAATGCTTTTGCTCTAATGAGAGCCTTGTAGCATCTCACACCATCCCTTTTTGCTCTCTTCCCTCCTCCCCCTTTACCCAACTTCGTTCCTCCCCCTTTACCCCTCTCCTCACCTTGTACCCCTCTTCCTTCCTCCCTTTTTACCCCTCCCTCTCCTCTTTCGCCCCTCCCCCCTCCTTTAATCTACCCCTCCCCCCTCCTCCCTATTTACCACTCATCATTTGTCCCATTTTACCCATCTCTCCTCCTCCCTTTTCACCCCTCTCCCCGCCTCTATTCTTACCCCTCCCCCTCCTCCCCTCCTCCCTCCCACTCACCCAGTCGCTTGAGCACTCCGAACTTGGGGTCGCCCAAAAGGTCGTTATTCTGCACGATCACAGACTGCATGAGAACCTCATCGTCGCTCGTGAACTTGCCAAAAAACACCACGTAAAGGCGCATGTCAAACAGGGGCGTGTTGCTGTTGTCCAGCCGCCAATCACTCATATACGCGTACCGCACCCACACCTGCTCCAAGGGGATTGGGGAAACAGAGGATGGAACGAAGCACGAGTCACGAGACCAACAGGACCACATAAAGGCGCATGTCAAAGAGGGGCATGTTGCTGTTGTCCAGCTGCCACTCACTCATATACACATTCCGCACATACACCTGCAAAGGCATGCAGCGGAGCGAGAAGCACAACAAAGTACCAAATTGCAGCGGAACGGGTTTGGGCAATGCAAGTACTGCATGTGTGTAAGAAGCTGCACCTACGAGCATCAGGTACAGCAAATTATGAGTAAAAAAGAACCAAATTGCAGTTCGATCCAGCCCAAATGAGCAAAGTCAACCCTGTTCACCTCGAATCGGACTTATTTTATTATTGTTATTCTGGGTTGACTCAAACTGGTCGAAATTCGGCACAAACCGTTGGGTTGGTTCGGCTTGACGGCCAAGTAGGCCCGACTCGGGTCACATTGAATGGCTTCAGAGTTTGAAAAGGTATTTAGAGCTGAAAATCACGTTTTAGAAATTAGGGCTTTGTTACAATGTGCACGCGTCCAAACTTTCGACGCCAGAGTCCAAAATCTAGTGTCCAAATGCTGGACGCTTCATCCTAGGAAAATATCACCAGTTTGGATGCTTTCTCGGGCAGCTACAAAATAGGTTGCAGACAGGGAAAAACAACAGGGAACGGGGAGTGGACGGAGGGGGGGAGAGGGGGGGAGGGGGGGGGAGAAGGGGGGAGGGGGAGTAGCTGCGGTTGCGGAGGTGTCAGCGGTGGGTTTTGGAGTGTTGCCACCAATGCCTACTCTCTGCAAATGTCTTCAATCCAACAGGCAGCGCCAACGGCTAAAAACGTGATCTAGGCTGTAAATATGCACCCCTAAACCTTGCTGGTCGAGATGCAATGGAGGTGGGATGCTGGATGCTAGGAGCCTAGATTGCCCACAGTGGTGCTTCGTACCGACGGGGGTCGGCGACTCGATTGTCTGTCTCATGCCCTGCCTCCGTATGATCTGGCTCTCTAACGGATCCGCATTCGGCCGGCTTCCCGCCCGCCAGCATCCTCTTGTCAAGTTTGTGCTCAGACCCTGTTTTGCTCTTCAGCTCAAAGCTGAGACACATTGAATTTGGCCATGTTCGCCGGCTTATCTGAGGGCCAGCTGCCCTCCCCTCCCTCCGGCTCCGGCTCACCCTGCCCGCCCTGCCCTGTACTTGAGTGGCACGGCCCCTCCTGCTGGGACTCTCATCAATTGCACAGGAGACCAGTTCCTGGATCGCAAGCGGTGGACTCGTGCATAATGCACTACTCTAGATCTCAGTGCGCCGAGTCCTTTTTGCCTTTTCGCAACAAGCATCTAGCTACCACTTGCCCTGTGTTAGGTGGTGGCTACACACCATACTCCTCACCCTGCTAGTCCCTCCCTTACAGTCGTCTGCGTGCGCCCAGGTCGCGCGGCCTTCACTCGTGGTCCCTCCCTTACACTTGCAAGGCTCGCCGCCATCTCTTGGTGCTATCTGCTGCCCTTAGGCTTGCTGGATCGTCATCGCGCCGCCTTCCAGCCTCGCATCGCATGCATTGGGAAAACTTGCCACCAACTCCCTCCCTGGCACCCAGGGCTCACCAACCTCCTTGGTGACTGCACACTTGCCTGCTTGCATACTTACCTGCCTATCTACCTACCTGACTACCTACCTGCCTACCAACCGAATTTCCTGCCTACTTACTTACCTGCCTACCTACCTGCTGCATTGCATACCCGTCTACTTACCTATTTTCTTGCCTACTTACCTGCCTGCATACGTAGTGTCACACTCTTTTATCTGGTGCCATTTCTCACCGCCCCACTCACCTGGCCCGGACTGATGCACTTGCCAAGCTTGATAGCTAGTTCTCTTTGAGCTGCCTCACAACTGCCTGCACAATACTGCAACAGTCTACTTGAAGCGCCACAGATTCTGCCCAGCCTCCTCTCTCATCCCCTCTCTCATCTCACCTGCTCCAGGGCTTCACACACTTGTCGAGCTTTTTGGTGGCGGCCTTGGCCAGCTTCTCAGCGATGACCACACCTGGTGGAGTAATCATCGGTTCACGCACGCACGGATGCTGCTGTTGGCGCACAGCAGGTCAAACTCGTAAAACTGATGCACGCCCCGGGCCAGACCAATGCACCTTTGCCCTAAAGAAATGCGCCTCATTTCTTCCTCTCTCACCTGCTCCGGATTGATGCACTTCTTGAGCTTCATGGCAAACCCTGCAGACAACTTCTGAGAGACAAGCTGCGAGTAGTCGTCAGTCCACGCCTGGATGGTGCTGTTGGCGCAGAGCAGGTCAAACTCGTAGAACTGGTTGCTGCCCACACACACACACGCCCCCGGCCCCCGTGTGGGGGTAAAGAGCGGGCCTGTCAAGGGCCCTCCCTCAGGGACGCAGTTGGAGGGGGGGTAGGCGTTGAGGAAGGTGGGGCGGTCGATGTACTGCGTGGAGAAGCAGAGCTGGTTGCTGCAAAAGGGCGCGGACGTCCACTTGCAGGAGTCGTTGAACAGGCCGCTGGTGGATGAGAGGTTGAGCGGGCGACCTGTGGAGATGTCACAGATCTGTGGGTTGCCGTACAGCCTGGTGGAGGTGGGGGCGACGAAGGAAGGAAGACAAGGAAGGGGGGAGGCGAAGGGGAGGAGGGGATGGGGAAAAGTTGAGGAAAGAGGTTAAGCGGCGGGCCCATGGCCACTTTGCAGATCTGTGTTGCCGTACTGTATGGCGTACAGGCCGGTGGTGAGGGGGAAGGGGAGGAAGACGTGGGGAGGGAAGGGAGAGGGGCAGAAGGGCATGCAGGTCCACTTGTAGGAGTCGTTGAACTGGCCGCTGGTGGATGACAGGTTGAGTTGAGGGGTCGACCTGTGGAGATGTCACAGATCTGCGGGATGCCGTATAAACTGGTGGAGGGTAGACATGAGCAGATTCCTGATCGTGTTGAATCGTACCGTTGATTTGACCCACCAATGCGACAGAAATGTCAAACCGAATGCTATGGCGAACTTGAACATGTTCGGGTTGGGCCACGAACCTTGAACACTCGAACATATAATATTGGCAAAACTGTTCGAACGAACCGAACATGTTTGGTTTGGAAATTCGATGAGTTCGGCAAGGTTCAAACCGAACGTGTTGGGATTCGCGCGTTGCACATGTTTAGTGGGGGGGAGGGGGGGTTGGTTGGGAAGGGGAGGAAGAAACAGGGGGGAGTAGGAAAGAAGAGGGGAAGGGTGGGTTTGGGGATAGTTAGGGAAAGAGGTTGGGGCTAAAGAAAAGGAGTATACATTGTCAGAAGAGGGCTGACTGCATGCCCCATCTCAAAGAGCACACACGCACCATTTCATTCCATGGCATGCCCCATTCAAAGGCACTGACTCACTCAAGAGCAGCCTTGCCAACATGCGAAGTGTTATCCACGACCGCCCCCACGGAACGCAGTGACACCACGTCCAGGGAGGCAGGCGACTTGGCCAAATTGGGCACCATCTGATTGGTCAGCCAGTTGTTGCCCAGCAGCCTGCAGGCAGCAAGGGGTGAGAGGGAGAGTGATGAGAGGCATACAGGCACGGCAGGGTCAGAAATGTTCTGTGTCTCTTTGGAATGATATAAAACTCTCTCTCAACAGCAGGTCCAGGAAGGCAGGCGCCTTGTTCAGACTGGGCACTGCCTGCCTGGTTGGTCAGCGGAGCTGGCAGAGCTGGTGGCAAGGAGTAAAAGTGGAGGGGTGAGAGTTGGAGGGGTGAGAGCGAAAGGAACAAGGGGCTGGCCGCTGGCAGAGGGTTGAGAGCAGCAGCAGACGGGCGGGTTCATGGAGGAAGAGACTGGGAAACGGGTCTCTCTGTTGTGGGTCGTTTACAATTGAAACCAGCAGACATCAGCGGGTAGAAGAACCACATGCCCGCTGACAGGGTTGCTTTCGTTTTGCGGCGTCTCTCAAAGAAACCCCACAACGACGACGACCAAACGATTTCAAATCAGTGCTCTCTACTCTACTCTACATGGTAAAGGCTACAGGGTTCTTACATGCTATTCAGCTTTGGCATCAAGAAGAGGGCTGCTGGCACAGGCGACAATATCTGATTGTAGCTCAAATCTCTGCAAGCGATGTGACAGGAACGGTGATGTAGCATAAACATAGCGATGATGAGAAACACATACCGTGCATGGGTTATGCAAAGAATTTTAGGCTTTCACAGGAGAAAAAATGCATGAGCAGGCATGTGTTACGTCCTTCCTTCCATTTCATGCCATTCCCACATTCACCTAGCAAACCAAGCTGTCACACAATCGCCACACATTTACCTCAGTAAGGTAAATGTAGGATCCTGACTGAGGCAGGCCGTCCACACAATCGTAGGATCCTATGATGGATGGCCTGCCTCAGTCAAGATCCACCCTCCAACATCTTTTCCCTTATCATAAAATGAAATAGTAGACAGTGTTAAGATCCCTTATACTCACAGGTTGTGACACTCACAGGTTCTTTGAGGTTGTTACGCTCACAGGTACTGGAGGTTGTTTCTCATAGGTACTTGAGGTTGTTACGCTCTCAGGTACTGGAGGTTGTTTCTCATAGGTACTTGAGGTTGTCACACTCACAGGTACTTGAGGTTGTTTCGCTCACAAGTACTTGAGGTTCCTCAGAGTAGTGATTGCATCAGGCAACGGGCCTGAGATGTTGGAACTTCGAATCACCCTGGCAGGAGAGTAGCACATGCATGCAGCACACCAGCACAGGGCGATTGTTGCACGAACAGGAGACAATTGCAAGATACTTAGATGAAGAGAAAGGGGATAGAGGGGTATAAACACGTCAGATCACACACAAGGAACTCAGAGGAAAGTAAAAATCACTTCGCCCCATCGCTTGCTTTATAGCTTGCAGAATGTGCGCACCGCCATGCCCTCTGAAAGATTTAGACATGCATGCACGAGCCAGGAGCTTATCAGCCTTTCTACGCCAGTCAACAACTATGGGCTTGTCTGGGAGAAGAGACGATCGACGTGGTACAGGTGAATGAGAGAGAGGGGTTGAGCGCATGAGAGGAAGGGGATGGGCACAGGCGAGACGAAATGTGGTGCACGCAGTGGTTTGAATGAGAGGCAAAGAACTAAAGTCAAGAATGAGAGTGTGACTGACAGAAATTTAAGGCTTTTGAATCTGGAGATGTCGGGCGGCAGGGAGCCAGAGAGTGGCATCTTCACCAGATTGCTGCACCACACAGTACAGGTAGAAGGCAAGAGGGATGCGGGCAGAGGGCGGGGCGGGCAGAGGAGGGATGTGAACAGATGAGAGAGGGCAGGGAGACAATGCACGAGCAGCACAATGGATCCCCCCTCTCTCTCCACCTTTCCCCAAGTTCCTCTCCTCCCAATGCTCACTCGTCAGGGCAGGGAGGGGAGGTGGAACAACAAGGACTCGTTTGAATAAGCAATGCTTGATTACATTTTTTCGTCAATGTAGACACATTTGTTTGATGATAATAGTGTTGCTTTTGCGCACACATTTTTCTGATACTGGTGTGGCGTTTCCACGCACACGCGTTCCAAGCTGTCTTTACACGCACATTGCTGTGATGGTGGTGTTGTCTTTACACGCACATTGCTGTGATGGTGGTGTTGTCTTTACACGCACATTGCTGTGATGGTGGTGTTGTCTTTACACGCACATTGCTGTGATGGTGGTGTTGTCTTTACACGCACATTGCTGTGATGGTGGTGTTGTCTTTACACGCACATTGCTGTGATGGTGGTGTTGTCTTTACACGCACATTGCTGTGATGGTGGTGTTGTCTTTACACGCACATTGCTGTGATGGTGGTGTTGTCTTTACACGCACATTGCTGTGATGGTGGTGTTGTCTTTACACGCACATTGCTGTGATGGTGGTGTTGTCTTTACACGCACATTGCTGTGATGGTGGTGTTGTCTTTACACGCACATTGCTGTGATGGTGGTGTTGTCTTTACACGCACATTGCTGTGATGGTGGTGTTGTCTTTACACGCACATTGCTGTGATGGTGGTGTTGTCTTTACACGCACATTGCTGTGATGGTGGTGTTGTCTTTACACGCACATTGCTGTGATGGTGGTGTTGTCTTTACACGCACATTGCTGTGATGGTGGTGTTGTCTTTACACGCACATTGCTGTGATGGTGGTGTTGTCTTTACACGCACATTGCTGTGATGGTGGTGTTGTCTTTACACGCACATTGCTGTGATGGTGGTGTTGTCTTTACACGCACATTGCTGTGATGGTGGTGTTGTCTTTACACGCACATTGCTGTGATGGTGGTGTTGTCTTTACACGCACATTGCTGTGATGGTGGTGTTGTCTTTACACGCACATTGCTGTGATGGTGGTGTTGTCTTTACACGCACATTGCTGTGATGGTGGTGTTGTCTTTACACGCACATTGCTGTGATGGTGGTGTTGTCTTTACACGCACATTGCTGTGATGGTGGTGTTGTCTTTACACGCACATTGCTGTGATGGTGGTGTTGTCTTTACACGCACATTGCTGTGATGGTGGTGTTGTCTTTACACGCACATTGCTGTGATGGTGGTGTTGTCTTTACACGCACATTGCTGTGATGGTGGTGTTGTCTTTACACGCACATTGCTGTGATGGTGGTGTTGTCTTTACACGCACATTGCTGTGATGGTGGTGTTGTCTTTACACGCACATTGCTGTGATGGTGGTGTTGTCTTTACACGCACATTGCTGTGATGGTGGTGTTGTCTTTACACGCACATTGCTGTGATGGTGGTGTTGTCTTTACACGCACATTGCTGTGATGGTGGTGTTGTCTTTACACGCACATTGCTGTGATGGTGGTGTTGTCTTTACACGCACATTGCTGTGATGGTGGTGTTGTCTTTACACGCACATTGCTGTGATGGTGGTGTTGTCTTTACACGCACATTGCTGTGATGGTGGTGTTGTCTTTACACGCACATTGCTGTGATGGTGGTGTTGTCTTTACACGCACATTGCTGTGATGGTGGTGTTGTCTTTACACGCACATTGCTGTGATGGTGGTGTTGTCTTTACACGCACATTGCTGTGATGGTGGTGTTGTCTTTACACGCACATTGCTGTGATGGTGGTGTTGTCTTTACACGCACATTGCTGTGATGGTGGTGTTGTCTTTACACGCACATTGCTGTGATGGTGGTGTTGTCTTTACACGCACATTGCTGTGATGGTGGTGTTGTCTTTACACGCACATTGCTGTGATGGTGGTGTTGTCTTTACACGCACATTGCTGTGATGGTGGTGTTGTCTTTACACGCACATTGCTGTGATGGTGGTGTTGTCTTTACACGCACATTGCTGTGATGGTGGTGTTGTCTTTACACGCACATTGCTGTGATGGTGGTGTTGTCTTTACACGCACATTGCTGTGATGGTGGTGTTGTCTTTACACGCACATTGCTGTGATGGTGGTGTTGTCTTTACACGCACATTGCTGTGATGGTGGTGTTGTCTTTACACGCACATTGCTGTGATGGTGGTGTTGTCTTTACACGCACATTGCTGTGATGGTGGTGTTGTCTTTACACGCACATTGCTGTGATGGTGGTGTTGTCTTTACACGCACATTGCTGTGATGGTGGTGTTGTCTTTACACGCACATTGCTGTGATGGTGGTGTTGTCTTTACACGCACATTGCTGTGATGGTGGTGTTGTCTTTACACGCACATTGCTGTGATGGTGGTGGTGCCTTTACACGCACATTGCTGTGATGGTGGTGTTGTCTTTACACGCACATTGCTGTGATGGTGGTGTTGTCTTTACACGCACATTGCTGTGATGGTGGTGTTGTCTTTACACGCACATTGCTGTGATGGTGGTGTTGTCTTTACACGCACATTGCTGTGATGGTGGTGTTGTCTTTACACGCACATTGCTGTGATGGTGGTGTTGTCTTTACACGCACATTGCTGTGATGGTGGTGTTGTCTTTACACGCACATTGCTGTGATGGTGGTGTTGTCTTTACACGCACATTGCTGTGATGGTGGTGTTGTCTTTACACGCACATTGCTGTGATGGTGGTGTTGTCTTTACACGCACATTGCTGTGATGGTGGTGTTGTCTTTACACGCACATTGCTGTGATGGTGGTGTTGTCTTTACACGCACATTGCTGTGATGGTGGTGTTGTCTTTACACGCACATTGCTGTGATGGTGGTGTTGTCTTTACACGCACATTGCTGTGATGGTGGTGTTGTCTTTACACGCACATTGCTGTGATGGTGGTGTTGTCTTTACACGCACATTGCTGTGATGGTGGTGTTGTCTTTACACGCACATTGCTGTGATGGTGGTGTTGTCTTTACACGCACATTGCTGTGATGGTGGTGTTGTCTTTACACGCACATTGCTGTGATGGTGGTGTTGTCTTTACACGCACATTGCTGTGATGGTGGTGTTGTCTTTACACGCACATTGCTGTGATGGTGGTGTTGTCTTTACACGCACATTGCTGTGATGGTGGTGTTGTCTTTACACGCACATTGCTGTGATGGTGGTGTTGTCTTTACACGCACATTGCTGTGATGGTGGTGTTGTCTTTACACGCACATTGCTGTGATGGTGGTGTTGTCTTTACACGCACATTGCTGTGATGGTGGTGTTGTCTTTACACGCACATTGCTGTGATGGTGGTGTTGTCTTTACACGCACATTGCTGTGATGGTGGTGTTGTCTTTACACGCACATTGCTGTGATGGTGGTGTTGTCTTTACATGTGAAGTTGGTCCACCCAGAGCACAGCAGCGGCGACGACCACACGAGCACGCTGCTGGGGTCCAGAATGCTCCCCAGCAGCGCCAGAGACACGCCTGCCATGGCCAGGGGTTGAGAGCGGTTAGTGTGGAGATGTGCGGCATGAAGGGAAGTGGACTTTTGAGAATCTGAGGGTGATGGATTGCGAGAGAGCTCCAACCAGTGTGGCACAGGGCGGCGAAAGACTCAAACGCCCTGCCATGGCCAATGATCAGAAGGGAGCTGAATGGAGAGGTGGGAGTGTAGTTTGAGGTAGACGAGTTGCAAGAGCACGAAATTCAGACTGCTGCCACCTCTGTGAGAAACACGCATGTCATGGTGAAGGTTCTAGAACTGGCGAATTGGAGGGTAAGAGTATGAGGCCAAAGAGTTGCAAGAGCGTCAAATTCAGGCTGCTGCCTGGAAGCCATGCCTGCCAGGGTCAGGGGTTGAGAGCGGTCAGATGGAGTGCAGGTGGAGCGGTCAGATGAAGCTCTTCAGATGTTCAAATGTGACCCATTTGATCATTGCCTCTGCACGGATGTTCCTTTTGGAAGCTTCGACCGGTGGAGCTGGAATCTTCCTTTTCTCTTAACGATGGCTGACGGAGTCGTCACCAAAGCTAAGAGCGCCATCAAGACGGTTGACGGAATCATTCACGGAGGCTGGCAGAATCTCGAAGACGGCTGAAGGCGTCAATGCGACGGCTGACGAGATTCGTCAGGACGGTTATCCCTGCGCCTTGGAGCCTATGCAAAATTGAGACTACCGTATTCGGAAAATTCTCCAGCGTAATTCAAGTCATTGCTGTGAGAGTTTCTACCTGTCACAGACGAGAGACTTTGACACTCGACAGCCGTTCTGAACTACCAGCTCTGTATTCACACTCCATCGACCCGTCTCGTCGCGTCTAGTTTTCACACAGAAGCATGGGCGATGCCTCCAAGGAAACCACGTAGGATTCGGAGAGTTCAGAGATAAATGTTCGAGGTTTTCACGTACGGGCGTTCGACGAGGCCTGTAAGTCGACCGGTCGAAAGGCGCACAGCATGAATTGACTATCGAGTCGACTAAAGAGTCACCACATTGTGGGTTTCACGTACGGTCGTTAGACGAGGTCTGTGAGTCGACGGGTCGAGACGCGCACAGCATGAGCACCGCGACGGAGAGAAGCGCTTGCGAGCTAGCGGCGGTAAGAGGCTTCCGGAGATGCCATGGTCTTGTACTTCGCGGCGTGGAGTAGCGTCGACGCGTGAAGTCTTGGCTTTCTATCGATGACGTTCGTCTGATTCCGCAATGCCGTAGTCTGGTGCGTTTCGATAAGTTACTGGAGGCTAGTAAAGCCCTGGAAGATCCCGATTCCCGGCTGGGGCTACGGAGATGATTGTCGAGCAGTGCCATAGGAACACCTCTAGAGGGAAGATTGTACGGGAGTCGACACCTAACTAAGTGAACCAAGACGGCAAACTGCCAAGCGCGCGCTATGCATTACTGGAGCTAAGAGTGTGCGACGTGTCTGTAAATAGGCTTTCAGGTAGCAACGCTCGATCCTTCTGTGAATCTGCACCAGTCGACACTAACAGAAGTGAATTACAATGTTGACAATGTTGACTAGCTCTCCGCCATGGATTTCATGAGTTCCGACACAGTCAATGTCCTCGCTAGGAGGCTTATTTCGAAACACTCACTAGGTAGTTTCGCGGGATTGCTGATTTTCCCATGTGCCTTTCGCCAAAACAGGGTTCTGCGTTAGCCCTGGGTCGCTAGGGTTTGCTTTCGCAAGCCAGTGTGAGGAAATCGTGACAAGGTAGCGATAGCGCATTGTTGTCAGGGAGCTCTATTGTTACCGCGTGTCTGCCAGAGTTTCGCTATTAGCCTAGCCAGCCCCAGTCGCATGTACGAACTTTTACCGAACAAAGCAACATCGTCTTGTTCATAAGGGCGACGTCAGGTTGCACGCACATTCAGGGCGTGGCTCCAATTTGATTTCAGTGTTTTTCCGGACAGTCCCAATATTTTGTTTTGGACTGTCCAAATATCGAGTACCAGACAGTCCGCTGGGAAAATTCGAAACTTTGCACCGTTCAGATGCAAAGCTGTCTCTTTTCTGAGTCTAGGGTTTTGACGAGTTACTGTAGCCTCGCAATGAATATTGTACAGTCGTTACCGAATTCGCGACTGCTCGTAACATTCGCCAATCAGCAGTCGCGCCTCGAACGCCAACAAAAACAGTTTACCTGCACACCAAACATCCCTCGACATTGAACCAAGCACAACCAGGTGGAGGACTTGACGAGGAGTTGGGTGTGGTGGGTCGCGGTTCCGTATTCCTATCTGCACTAGAGTGGTCCTTTGTGAAGGTTCGGTTCGGATTTTGTGGGGGTTTTTGTAGCCCAGTAGCGCAGTTCGAACCTTATCCAAACGTTCAGGAAAAGACCGCACCCTAACATTTGCATATCTCCAGCAGCACTCCATCAACAGGGTCCATATGTTCCATTAAGGCTTGAACAGATTAGAAATGCAGATTCGCGGCTCACCAGGCCTTTAGGAACTTCTTTGCAAGTACCGTTATTTGCTCTTCTTGCAATCCTAGTTGTTAGCGAGTCGCGAGTGTCTCTATGGATGCCGTTCGGTTTCTTTCCCGTAGTACGAAGTCTCTCGCTTGCATCTACTCGCACAATTTCCATGCGAAGCTTTCTAGACGAGTATCGAAAGTAAGCGCTCGAGCTATTCCTAATCTACTATTGTCTTTCAACGATCTTGTTTGCCCCATCTCATTTCTCCTGGTTTTTTTTTGTTTTTGTTTCTCTTCTGCGTACTTTTTCACCACTCCCTTCCGTTGCTCGTCGTTTCTGTCGTTTCTGAACGTGTGAAAGCTGCTTATTCCGTAGCGTATCGCTAAAAAATTCGCGCGTAACCAGTGTGCATTTCAGCTTTTAGCCCCGTTGTTAGCCTCCCTCACATGCTTCCCACCTCGCTCCTCCCTTTCACCTCCCTGCGCTTATCTCCCCGATCCCCCCCTGCTCTACGCATACCTTCCCTTGTCGCATATACGTTCAGTGCTCGATCGCAAGTCCGTCTCCCTTGCAACTCCCCCCTTCCGTCAAGTCCGTCTGTTGCCAGCATACGGCCATCGCAGAGCCAGCAGTGGCCAGCTGTTGCCAGCATACGGCCATCGCAGAGGCAGCAGTGGCCAGCTGTTGCCAGCATACGGCCATCGCAGAGCCAGCAGTGGCCAGCTGTTGCCAGCATACGGCCATCGCAGAGCCAGCAGTGGCCAGCTGTTGCCAGCATACGGCCATCGCAGAGCCAGCAGTGGCCAGCTGTTGCCAGCATACGGCCATCGCAGGGCCAGCAGTGGCCAGCTGTTGCCAGCATACGGCCATCGCAGAGCCAGCATGGAGGCGCAGGCAGGCGGAGAAGGACGGGGAGAAGCTGACTGCTGCCTCCCTCCTCCACTCCTTCCCGACACCCCTCCTCTCCCCGCTCCTTCCCGTCACCCCTCCTCTCCCCCCTCCTTCCCGACACCCCTCCTCTCCCCCCTCCTTCCCGACACCCCTCCTCTCCCCCCTCCTTCCCGACACCCCTCCTCTCCCCCCTCCTTCCCGACACCCCTCCTCTCCCCCCTCCTTCCCGACACCCCTCCTCTCCCCCCTCCTTCCCGACTCCCCTCCTTTCCCTCCTCGCCGCAGCTGTCCCCCTCGCGCATTGTAGTGCGATGCTCGGCCGCGGGTTCGTTGAGCGGCCGTGACAGGGCGAGCAGGGAAGCGCAGGCAGCCGGGGAGCCCATGGAGATGCTGTGGCGCTCGCTCGCACAGCGGAGCCAATGCTGCTTGCCTCACATCCGCTCCTTCCTTCCGCCCTCCTTTCTTCCCCTCCTCGCCGCAGCTGTCCCCCTTGCGCGTCCAAGTGAGATGCTCAGCAGCGGGATCGTCGCATGGCCAAGACAGGGCGAGCAGGGAGGCGCAGGCAGCCAAGGAGGCCATGGAGATGCTGTGGCGCTCGCACAGCGAAGACAGTGCTGCTGACGGGCTGGATCGGAACGGTGTGAACCACAGTGGGATGCAGCAGCAGGCTCAAGCGCAGCTGCTATCCGTGCCTGGCGGGGGGTTTGAGTTTGGCGAAGAGGGGGAGGGGGAGGGGGAGGGGGAGGGGGAGGGTGGGGAGGGTGCGGGCGCGGGCGGGTTCACTCCGGAGAGCGTGCGATCGCTGCTGGAGGCGCTTGAACTGGAGGCGGCAGAGGAGTCAAAACACGCGCTCAGGTGAGGAGAGGACCGCACTCGGGCTGAGATGAGCCGCACGCACGGGTGGCGTGGGTATGGTCAAGAGGAGGGGAGGGTGCGGGCGCGGGCGGGTTCACCCCAGAGAGCGTGAGGTTGCTGCTGGAGGCGCTTGAACTGGAGGCGGCAGAGGAGTCAAAACACGCGCTCAGGTGAGCCGCACGCCCTCAGGTGAGCCGCACAACCTGAGTTGAAAGGTGGAAGAGGGTTAGAAACAGGTATGCCAAGTCTTTCACAAGTCGTTTCATCTCTCCCCTCCCCAACTCCGCTTTCCCCCCGCCCCTTAGCATGTGGACAGCGTGCTATGTGTGCGGACAAGCGATTCATCTACCCTACGCAGCTAGCAACTCTCTTTCTCCTTGTATGTCCCCTTCCCTCTCCCCACGGCAGCATCGTGGACTGGGTGCTGTGGGTGGACAAGCGCAGCTATCAACTCTCCTCCTTCTCTTTGACGCTCTCTTTCACCCTGCCACGTCACCCACCCCCCCAGCATTGTGGACCGGGTGCTGTGGGTGGACAAGCGAGTGCGCGACTACATGACGCCCAACCCCATCTGCCTGCACCGCGACATGTCCCTCCGTGATGCCGCTCAGGTGAGAGAGGCGGGTGAGGAGGTGAAGGGAGAGAGAGGTGGGTGAAGGGAGAGAGAGGTGGGTGAAGGGAGAGAGAGGTGGGTGAAGGGAGAGAGAGGTGGGTGAAGGGAGAGAGAGGTGGGTGAAGGGAGAGAGAGGTGGGTGAAGGGAGAGAGAGGTGGGTGAAGGGAGAGAGAGGTGGGTGAAGGGAGAGAGAGGTGGGTGAAGGGAGAGAGAGGTGGGTGATGGGAGAGAGAGAGTCGGGTGGGAAAGGGGAGCGAGAGGCGGAGGGTTCTTCCTCCCTTAATTCCCTTTCTCTCCATCCTGTGCCATCGCATACGAATCTTTCTCACTCTCTCTTCACACCAGATCTTCCTGCGCCATCGCATCAGCGGGGCGCCAGTGGTGGAGGTGGACGAGGAGGACGACGGGGTGGGGCTGGGCAAGGTGGTGGGCGTGCTGTCGCAGCGCGACATCATGTGGAAGGAGCTGCGCACGCACGGCATGGTGGGTGGGTGGGTGGCAGGGTGGCGGCATGTGCTTGTGCTAGTGGCAGTAGGGAGAGTTTTCAGGAGGGGGATGGTGTGGCGGGGCTGGGCAGGCGGGTGAATGTGCTGTCTCAGCGCGACATCGTGTGGAAGGAGCTCCGGACGCACGGCATGGTGTGTGCCATATGCAAGTGTCAGTATGGAGAGTTCTCAAAAGTTGGGGATGGTGTGGGGTTGGGGAGGCTGGTGGTTGTGCTGTCTCAGGTCAGGGCGGCACCATGCGGAAAGAGTTTGTGATGCATGGCATGGTGGGACGGTGGCATGGTGGGACGGTGGCATGGTGGGACGGTGGCATGGTGGGACGGTGGCATGGTGGGACGGTGGCATGGTGGGACGGTGGCATGGTGGGACGGTGGCATGGTGGGACGGTGGCATGGTGGGACAGTGGCATGGTGGGACGGTGGCATGGCATCTGCATCCTTCCACATATCTGCCGTGCTGTCTGTTCGTCCATGTGAGAGGCTATTCCTACCCTTTTCTCCCTCCCCCTTCCCTCTCCCTCTCCCTCTCCCTCTCCCCCCCCAAACACAGCACATGCTCACAGGCAAAACAAAAGTGTCCCTGACAGCTCCCCAACCATCCCCGCGTGCACCATGTCCCCTTGCCACCATCCCACCTCATTGCAGGCGGAAGAGGAGTTTCTGCAGCGCCTGGCCAACTACCAGAACCATCTGAACCATGGTTACACACTCTTGAAGAGAGCATATTCAAGGCCACGCATGAACCTAATGCAGTCTCCACATGCCCCCCATGCCATGCGGCCCCTTACCACCATGCTGCCCCTTACCACCATGCTGCCCCTTGCCACCATGCGGCCCCATGCCACCATGCCGCCCCACTGCAGGCGGAGGAGGAGTTTCTGCAGCGCCTGGCCAACTACCAGGACCACCTTAACCAGGGCCCACGGGTGGACAAGCTTCGGCAGCACCTGAGAAAGGCCGCTTCACTGCGGGTTAGTGGATTGGGCTGCAGCGGACAGGGGAGTTGGAATGGTTGGGAGTGGGTGGTGATAGGTAAGTTGATGGGCCTGGTGGACGGACTACCATAACCATCTGAACCACAAGCCTCTTGTGGACTAGCTCTGGCAGCACGTGAGAAAGGCTGCTTCACGGTGGGTCAGTGGAATGAGATGGAGCGGAGAGGAGGGTGAAAGGGTGGGAGAGTGGATGGTGGGAGGTGAGGGAATGAGAACTACCAGGGCCTCAACAAGAGGCCGCGTGAAGTTTAGCTCCGGCAGCACACGAGGAAGGTCGCGACGCTGCAGTTCAATGGCATACAGGCTGAGGGAGTGTGGGCTGGTGTGGATTCATCACCCGGCTCCCATGCTGTGTTACCGGCCATGAAGAGCAGCAGCAGTGTGAAGGATTGCTTGAGCAAAGAAAGATAACCACTTGTTGAAGCTTGTAACCTTGAAAAGATAATAGGAACCTTAAGTACAGCTCTATTCCTGGGATGGATGCATCACCCGGCTCCCATGTTGTGTGCCTATGGGTTATCTGTGTGCGCACGAGTCTGTGGGCTATCTGACTCCCATCCTGACTCCCACCTGACTCCCATCCTGTCTCCCATCCTGACTCCCGTCCTGACTCCCGTCCTGATTCGCGTCCTGACTCGCGTCCTGACTCTCTTCATGACTCTCGTCCTGACTCGCGTTCTGACTCGCGTCCCCCAACTCTCGTCTTGACTCCCGTCCTGACTTCGGTCTAGAGCTCTAAGTCGGTTCGAAGTTGGGGAGGGAGGGCAGGGCAATGACGTGCAGTAGATCCAGCTCGCACAATCTGGTCAACGCATCAATGTTGTCATGAAGAGCAGCTAGCTTTGGAGCTTGGATCACGAAGCACGTGAGGTGCTGCAGAATTGTCATGAATTTTGATAGCTCTTGTAATTCCAGAGCCTCATCATTGTGAAGCTCCCGCAGTTGTTGCAACGATGAGCCAAGATTCTCTGAAAGAGCGTTCATCCTTTTTCTCGATAATCAAGGCATGCAATCGGGACAGTGCTGTTTAGGGAAATGGTAACTTCTGCTCGTTAATCTCAACAAATACACACTTGAGCGAAGGTGGCAGCAGTGATGGAGTGCGCAGCAGCATCGAACACAATCTGAACTCCAAGTACTTGAGCCTCTGAAGGCTTTCCAAATTCTTAGGCATCCGAGTAAGGCTCCAACAGTCCTTAATGCACGAGGCCTCCAGTCGCCTACGACCCATAATGGACTCGAGAAGTTCCCACACGTTCCAGAATGACAAGATGTCGAGCTCTTGAAGCGTCAGTCCACTCAGCCCGTTGATGCTCCCGGAGATCTCAGATAGCTCGCAAACTGAGCTCTAGACGAGTCAGCAACGAAAGCTGTCCGAGGTGATCAACATTCTCTGGAGTATCCATCCAATGTCAACCTGTTGAATTGTAGCGACTTGAGTGAGGGGAGGGAAGTGAATCCTGCAGGCAGGTGGCGGATAACGCATCGGCTTCACCGCTGGCAACTGCAGCCGAAGCAGTACCATTTGCTACCGCTCCTCCTGTCGCACCTAGTAGGTCCATAAACGATCTTCTTGATGACCTCTTCGTTGAGGTTTTCTCGCTCGTCAACTGCCTTGATCCTAAAGCGACCTTTCCAGAACCTGAAGACAACGTTTACGAGGTTGAATTACTGTCATTTCTTGCTGGTACAGACGTCGCTCACAACCTTCTCATCATGTTCGTCTGTCGTCGGTGGCGCATCCTTGCTCGGCGTCACGTATCGACGCTGCTCGTTAAAGACGGCCAATACGTTTCGCTCCAAGACTCCACAAACGTCGACGCCCTCTTGTCCAATCTTACGCATCTGCATCTCCCCGATAATAGCGTGGACAGCCTCCCCGACGTTTTCCTCTATCACCTCACCTCGTACTGCCCCAAGTTGATTGAAGGTCTGCATATAGGACCAGTGGAAGTAGGCCACGCTGATCTACAGTGGAAGTATTCATTTTCGATGATTGAGGCTGGTCCGGATTTGTTCTTCCTCATATGCACGCAGTTGGAGCAGCTGACACTCCACCACTACAATAATGACGATACGCTACTGTTGTCGTTCTTTCGGCTACCGAATCTGCGCTCTTTGTTTCTGACTAACGCCTCAATTTTGTTGCATTCAAGGCTGACGAATTTCTCTAAGCTCTCGACTCTCACCATCCAGACTAATTCTTTAGGTGTGGACCATCTGTTAGCTCTCACTCAACTCATCGCCCTTACTAGCCTATCCTTCTGCAAAACTTACATTGATTTGATGACTCCTGGATCTTTCTCTTTCTCGTTCGCCCTCCTGTCATCTTTCTGACCTCTGTAATGTGACATTGGATTTGGCTCGCTTTTGTTAAAACTTTCTTGAAGCGCCTGTCACTATCAGATCGCAGCGAACACACGTGTACTCCTTGTAGCATCAAAAGCTTGCTGTTGCTATCTCTTGAAGATGTGTCCGATGCAAGCCCTGGATGCTACAAGGAGTATGTGTGCGTTCGCTGCGATCTGGGGGTGACAAGCGCTTTAGGAATCTGCACCAGGGTACTAACAAAAGCGAGTCGAATCCAAGGTCACATTGCAGAGATTGGAAGAGTGACAGGTGGACGAACGAGAAAGAGAAAGAATCTCAGATTTTTTAAATCAATGTAAGTTTTGCAGAAGGATAGGCCGATAAGGGCGGTGAGTTTAGTGAGAGCTAACAGACGGACTACACATGAGGAATCGGTCTGGATGATGAGAGTCGAGAGCTTGAGAGATTCTTCAGCCTTGGATCGAACAAAATTGAGGCGTTGTTCAGAAACAGAGAGCGCAGATTCACTAGCTGAAATGATGACGACGGTAGCATATCATCATTATTGTAGTGGTGGAGTGTCAGCTGCTTCAACTACGTACAGTTGAGGAAGAGCAAGTCCAGACCAGCGTCAGTCATCGAAAGTGAATAGTTCTACTGTAGATCAACGTCGCCTATTTCCACTGGTCCTATGTGAAGCGCTTCGGTTTGGGGCAGTACAAGATGAGGTGATGAAGGAATGCGTCGATGAGGTTGTCCACACTATTACCGGGGGGATGCAGATGCGTGGTATTGGACAAGAGGGCGGCGGCGTTTCTGAGTTCTTGGAGCGAAATGTATTGGCCTTTTTTTACGAGCAGCGTCGATACGTGACGCCGAGCAAGGCTACGCCACCGATGGCAGACGGACGCGATGAGAAGGCTGTGAACGACGTCTGTACAAGCAGGGAATGACGGTAATTCAAACTCGTAAATGTTGGCTTCAGGTTCTGGAAAGATCGTTTGAGGATCAAGGCGGTTGGCGAGTGAGAAAACCTCAACGAAGAGGTCATCATGAAGATCGTTTATGGATGTACTAGGTGCGACAGGACGAGCGGTAACAAGTGTACTGTTTCGACTGCAATAGCCAGCGCTGATGGTGCAGCCGATGCGATATCCGCTAACCGCCTACAGAATCCAGATCTCTCCCATGTGCCCTAGCTGAGTTGAGTGAGTCACAGGCCATTCTGTGCCATCCTTCATGTGAATCTCATGTTCCTTGCATTTATGCCCTGGTGCGAACAGGTGGAGGAGTGAATGACAGACACGGTGCTGCAGTTGAAGCAGCCTGTGGCTTTCAAACTCTCATGCTCATAAAGCCTCTCCCACCCCTCCTCCCTCTTCCCTCCCCCGGTGCGAGCAGGTGGAGGAGTCAATGACGGGCACGGTGCTGCAGGTGGAGGAGGCTATGCTTTGCTTTGTTGAGCTCTCATTCTCTTAACCCCTCCACCCCCCCAACCTTCCCCATGTATGCCCTCAACCATCTCCGCGCAGGTAGACGAGTCGATGACAGACACGGTGCTGCAGGTGGAGGAGGACTCGTTCATGGTGGACGCCACCGAGATCATGCTCAACTGCAATGTGAGATCATGCTCAACTGCAATGTGAGATCATGCTCAACTGCAATGTGAGATCATGCTCAACTGCAATGTGAGATCATGCTCAACTGCAATGTGAGATCGTGCTCAACTGCAATGTGAGATCATGCTCAACTGCAATGTGAGATCGTGCTCAACTGCAATGTGTGCATTCTACCTGTGTGCATTCTACCTGTGTGCATTCTACCTGTGTGCATTCTACCTGTGTGCATTCTACCTGTGTGCATTCTACCTGTGTGCATTCTACCTGTGTGCATTCTACCTGTGTGCATTCTACCTGTGTGCATTCTACCTGTGTGCATTCTACCTGTGTGCATTCTACCTGTGTGCATTCTACCTGTGTGCATTCTACCTGTGTGCATTCTACCTGTGTGCATTCTACCTGTGTGCATTCTACCTGTGTGCATTCTACCTGTGTGCATTCTACCTGTGTGCATTCTACCTGTGTGCATTCTACCTGTGTGCATTCTACCTGTGTGCATTCTACCTGTGTGCATTCTACCTGTGTGCATTCTACCTGTGTGCATTCTACCTGTGTGCATTCTACCTGTGTGCATTCTACCTGTGTGCATTCTACCTGTGTGCATTCTACCTGTGTGCATTCTACCTGTGTGCATTCTACCTGTGTGCATTCTACCTGTGTGCATTCTACCTGTGTGCATTCTACCTGTGTGCATTCTACCTGTGTGCATTCTACCTGCCTGCATTCTACCTGCCTGCATTCTACCTGCCTGCATTCTACCTGCCTGCATTCTACCTGCCTGCATTCTACCTGCCTGCATTCTACCTGCCTGCATTCTACCTGCCTGCATTCTACCTGCCTGCATTCTACCTGCCTGCATTCTACCTGCCTGCATTCTACCTGCGTGCATTCTACCTGCGTGCATTCTACCTGCGTGCATTCTACCTGCGTGCATTCTACCTGCGTGCATTCTACCTGCGTGCATTCTACCTGCGTGCATTCTACCTGCGTGCATTCTACCTGCGTGCATTCTACCTGCGTGCATTCTACCTGCGTGCATTCTACCTGCGTGCATTCTACCTGCGTGCATTCTACCTGCGTGCATTCTACCTGCGTGCATTCTACCTGCGTGCATTCTACCTGCGTGCATTCTACCTGCGTGCATTCTACCTGCGTGCATTCTACCTGCGTGCATTCTACCTGCGTGCATTCTACCTGCGTGCATTCTACCTGCGTGCATTCTACCTGCGTGCATTCTACCTGCGTGCATTCTACCTGCGTGCATTCTACCTGCGTGCATTCTACCTGCGTGCATTCTACCTGCGTGCATTCTACCTGCGTGCATTCTACCTGCGTGCATTCTACCTGCGTGCATTCTACCTGCGTGCATTCTACCTGCGTGCATTCTACCTGCGTGCATTCTACCTGCGTGCATTCTACCTGCGTGCATTCTACCTGCGTGCATTCTACCTGCCTGCATTCTACCTGCCTGCATTCTACCTGCGTGCATTCTACCTGCGTGCATTCTACCTGCGTGCATTCTACCTGCGTGCATTCTACCTGCGTGCATTCCACCTGCGTGCATTCCACCTGCGTGCATTCTACCTGCGTGCATTCTACCTGCGTGCATTCTACCTGCGTGCATTCTACCTGCGTGCATTCTACCTGTGTGCATTCTACCTGTGTGCATTCTACCTGTGTGCATTCTACCTGTGTGCATTCTACCTGTGTGCATTCTACCTGTGTGCATTCTACCTGTGTGCATTCTACCTGTGTGCATTCTACCTGTGTGCATTCTACCTGTGTGCATTCTACCTGTGTGCATTCTACCTGTGTGCATTCTACCTGTGTGCATTCTACCTGTGTGCATTCTACCTGTGTGCATTCTACCTGTGTGCATTCTACCTGTGTGCATTCTACCTGTGTGCATTCTACCTGTGTGCATTCTACCTGTGTGCATTCTACCTGTGTGCATTCTACCTGTGTGCATTCTACCTGTGTGCATTCTACCTGTGTGCATTCTACCTGTGTGCATTCTACCTGTGTGCATTCTACCTGTGTGCATTCTACCTGTGTGCATTCTACCTGTGTGCATTCTACCTGTGTGCATTCTACCTGTGTGCATTCTACCTGTGTGCATTCTACCTGTGTGCATTCTACCTGTGTGCATTCTACCTGTGTGCATTCTACCTGTGTGCATTCTACCTGTGTGCATTCTACCTGTGTGCATTCTACCTGTGTGCATTCTACCTGTGTGCATTCTACCTGTGTGCATTCTACCTGTGTGCATGCGTGCGCTCTGCACTTTCTTCTCCCTGCATGCTGCGTGCTCCATGCGGGACACCACAGGTGTCTCGCCTGCCTGTGGTGGTGCGACTCCCTGATGGCCGCAGGACGCTCACAGGCATCATCACATGCAGCGACATTCTAAGGCACACGCTGCTGCTGCTCTAGAGGTGGATTTGAATTGACTCAGATCAGAAGACATTCTAAGGCACATGGTGTAGCTGCTCTGCTACCAAACCACATCCACCCTCATTTCCCGGTCACCGGCACACTCCCACACACATCATCAAACACAGCGACCTGCTATGCCACACGCTTGTGCTGCTCTAGAGCTGTCTGTTGAGGCCAGTTGCCATATGACTGAGTATACTTCCAAGGCATGTTGCTGCTTCCAAGGCATGTTGCTGCTTCCAAGGCATGTTGCTGCTTCCAATGCATGTTGCTGCTTCCAAGGCATGTTGCTGCTTCTCCTATGGAGCCATGTGCTGCCATGGAAAGGACCCATCCGCATTCACCTCCCCACCCGTATTCCACATCAACCCACATTCCTTAATCATCTACACCATTTTCTGCAGCAACGACGTACAAAGACACACGCTGCTGCTGCGCTAGAGGCATGTGGTGCCATGCAACATCCGCCTCCCCCTTTTGCCACCACACTCTCATCCGCATCATTTGCTCCAACGACATTCTCAGCCACCCATTACTGCTGGCATGTGCTGCCGTGGATGATATTTTATGCACATTGGGCTTCCTGATTACCACCATACATCAGCATCATCAGTTGCAGCAACGACATTCTAGGTCGCCTCGCCTCAACATGCAACTGCTACTACTGCTACTGCTACATACTCCTGTTGCTGCTTTATGGCGCCTTAAAAGTTAGTACCGCTACTGCCGCGGCTGCTACATACTCCTGTTAGTAACATTCTCAGTCGCACGCTACTGCCGCGGCTGCTTTACTTGCTCTTCTTGCCTTCCATTGCTCTCACTGGTGCCAGTCTTCTCGTCTTACACTCTGCTGCTGCTGCTGCTGCTGCTGCTGCTGCGGTTCAGTCGCTTTTTGCTGCCTCCATCAAGCACACACCTCTAGTCACACCTGTTACAAGTGTGTATTATAATGAATAGCGTGTATCTGCTTATGTGAAACAGCAAGTGTTGAATAATTGGAGTCAGTAATTGGGACAACACACACACACGATATTGCTTAAATGAGCTGTAAAAGAGATTTAAGTTGATTCTGCTTTTGAATTCTGTTCGGAAAAAGAGGTAATTAACATTTTAGCACTGAACTATTCGTTGACATGCTCTGTACAATAACGAATCGCAGAAGGTTGTGTGCGTGGCGTGGGGTACGTTTGAGCTCCTTTCGCCTTACAAAAACAGACGCGCATCGCCGCCGTTCCCGCCAACTCGACCCCTCATCTTGAACCCCAAGTTCACCATTCCACATTCACGCCTATCTGGTAACCACGCTGGCAGTCCGAACCATTCGCACAGTCGCACAGCACAAGTAGCTCCTTCGCCATGATCCAGCCTGCTGCAGCTGCAGCCGCTTCCGCCATCTCTTCCGCTTCCGCCACTTCCGCGCGCCCTTCCGCCCTCAGCGCCTACCGCACGTTGCTCCGCGCCATCCGCAAATCCTTTCCGGGGGACCAGCACGCGCAGACCGCGGGGCGCGCGGAGGTGCGCGGGCACTTCGAGGGGAACCGCGCGGAGGCGGACGAGCGGCGGCTGGCGGAGCTGGAGAAGGACGCGCGGGACGCGGCGGAGATGCTCCGCACGATGGTGGTGCAGGCGCGCCTCAACGAACGGGGCAACTTCGGTGAGCCATGGGGGGGCGACGGGGGGAGCGACGGGAGATCTAGGGGGAAAGGGGTGGATGTCACTGTATTGGGGGGAGGGGGAGGGGGTTGGGGAAGGGGGGTAGGGATAGGGGGGGTGGGGAAATCAAGGGGGAAAGGGCGGTTAACGCGGCGGAGATGCTCCGCACGATGGTGGTGCAGGCGCGCCTCAACATCCCAAAAAAGTCCCCCGCAAATTTCTACCCCAATGTCACATCAGGGTTACCCCGATTAGTGATACCCCAGTGTCGCCAGCAGTGTTACCCCCGATCGAAGTTCAGTTCGTTGTCACACTGATGTGACCCCAAGCGGTGACCCTGATGTTACCCCCCGAGAAGCTGGGGCCCAATCCCGTGCATTCCCGCTTCTCGCGGACCCAACTCGAACGCGAGCCGTATCTGCGCTGTAAAATTCATCGCTTTAGCCGAAATGTTGTCTACAGCTCGCTATTTATTTTTTAGGCTATATATTACCCGTACAAAAAACGCATCCCGATATATCCACAATTATTAATCATAAAAAAGCTTAACGCGAGAACCATTGTTACCTGGGGGTTGGGCAGTTAATCGCCAGCATATCTTTGCAAGCACACTAAACCATCAACAATTAACACGTTTGCAAATGCAAATCACTTGAGCTTTGATTATTGAGAAATGGAACTAGAACATGAACAAAACTGCAGTGAAACTATTCATTGTATTTCACTATCCTCTGCACATGCGAAAAACAGATCACCAGTCACAGCAAAACCCTAGAAAGTGACTGAATAAGCGGCAGATCTTCCAATAACGTGAGACACCTGGAAGCATTGGAAAACGGGGAACCGAGGAAACAGATCATGTCAAGAGCTCGTTAGGGAAGGATAGCCGAAACAAACACTGAGCAATTTAGCCAGAAACGACTTACCGGTCAACGTATATTGAATCGGTACGAGTCACGCCATCACGAAAGTAGCCAATAGGCAAAAGCGGCGCTTTAAGGCAATAAATCCTGAACGCTCACAAAGAAATAAGGAGTGCCAACAGACCAGAACGGCTGGCCGCAGAATGAAATTGAAGCGACTTAAAAGTGAATTACGGTAATCTTGCTTACCTCGAAGGCACACTCTAGACCTCCACACACGAGCGCCTAGCACAGAGGTTGACGACGCCTGCAAAGAAACACACATGGCGCGAGGAAACAATAAGCAACTAACGATAAAAAATAACATTAACATGCACGCCTACAATCGCCAGGGTATCGACGTTGCTTAACAACGGAAAGAGTAAACCCGAAGCTAAGATACTCATCGTTCAGGTAAAATCTCCAGAAAGGTCTAGGAAATCAAGGCAGCGGAAAATGCGGACATGGCGGCGGTTTTAAGAGAACGAGAAATCCTAGAACTCAAACAGCTTGGCAGCGAGAAATAATGAGGGAAGTGGTCGAGATGGGATTGTGAAATACATCCAGGAGGGACTCTGTTGATGAAGTGACTAGGACAAATGTCATTGGTGCACGAAATCCTTGCTGCCACCTAGCGAAACATTTCAGTGCAGAGATTCTCTGGGGGATATCACTGCACTGGGGGATATCACTGCACTGGGGGATATCACTGCACTGGGGGATTGGGGGGGGGGGAGGTCGATTGAGGGGAAAAGGGTGGTCGACGCAGATGTGCTGTGCAGCGCATGATGGTGTGGCAGACGTGAGTGGCGGGGTGGGGGTATTGCAGCGCATGATGGGCGCCCGCGGGTCAGGGGAGCGGGAGGGGGAGGAGGGGGGTGTGAGGGGGAGGGAGAGGGGGAAATGGGGGGGCGAAGAGTTGTCTGTCTGTACACAGACAATGGGGGGGTTTGGTGAGGGGGAAGCGGAGGTTTGGTGAGGGGGAAGTGGACTAGGGGGGGGACTGTGGGGGGATAGGTGGGGACTAGGGGGGGACTAGGTGGGGGACTCGGAGGGAACTAGAGGGGGGTTTTGGGGGGGGGGAGTGGTGGGGCATTGTGGGGGGATTGGGGGGTTTGGGTGGGAATTGAGGGGGGGGATTGGGGGGGATGAAGGGGATGAGGGGGTGGGATGCAGCGGTGCTTCTTTGATTACCAGCAGAAGCACCGCTGGTCGCTAGGCGTTTGCCCAGCATGCTCGTTTGGGTGCCGTGACTGGCCGTGGAATTCTGCCTGTGCCGTGCCCACGGTGTGTGCCGTGCCCACGGTGTGTGCCCACGGTGTGTGCCCGCGGTGTGTGCCCGCAGTGTGTGCCGTGCCACGCTGGTAGGTCAAGGCGGGCTGGATGGGAGGGGGAGTCTGGAGAGGTGCGCGGCATGGGGAGTGAGTGGGGAGGTGAAGTGAAGCAACTGGCTTCTGTCAGTCAGTCCGTGCCCTCTCATCTGCCCTCTCATCTGCCCTCTCATCTGCCCTCTCGTCTGCCCTCTCATCTGCCCTCTCATCTGCCCTCTCATCTGCCCTCTCGTCTGCCCTCTCGTCTGCCCTCTCATCTGCCCTCTCATCTGCCCTCTCATCTGCCCTCTCATCTTCCCTCTCGTCTGCCCTCTCATCTGCCCTCTCGTCTGCCCTCTTATCTGCCCTCTCATCTGCCCTCTCATCTGCCCTCTCATCTGCCCTCTCATCTGCCCTCTCATCTGCCCTCTCATCTGCCCTCTCATCTGCCCTCTCATCTGCCCTCTCGTCTGCCCTCTCGTCTGCCCTCTCGTCTGCCCTCTCATCTTCCCTCTCGTCTGCCCTCTCGTCTGCCCTCTCATCTGCCCTCTCATCTGCCCTCTCATCTGCCCTCTCGTCTGCCCTCTCGTCTGCCCTCTCGTCTGCCCTCTCGTCTTCCCTCTCGTCTTCCCTCTCATCTTCCCTCTCGTCTTCCCTCTCGTCTGCCCTCTCGTCTGCCCTCTCATCTGCCCTCTCATCTTCCCTCTCATCTTCCCTCTCATCTGCCCTCTCATCTGCCCTCTCATCTGCCCTCTCATCTGCCCTCTCATCTGCCCTCTCATCTGCCCTCTCATCTGCCCTCTCATCTGCCCTCTCATCTGCCCTCTCATCTGCCCTCTCATCTGCCCTCTCATCTGCCCTCTCATCTGCCCTCTCGTCTGCCCTCTCATCTTCCCTCTCCTCTTCCCTCTCGTCTGCCCTCTCATCTGCCCTCTCATCTGCCCTCTCGTCTGCCCTCTCATCTGCCCTCTCATCTGCCCTCTCATCTGCCCTCTCATCTGCCCTCTCATCTGCCCTCTCATCTGCCCTCTCATCTGCCCTCTCATCTGCCCTCTCATCTGCCCTCTCATCTGCCTTCTCATCTGCCCTCTCATCTGCCCTCTCATCTGCCCTCTCATCTGCCCTCTCATCTGCCCTCTCATCTTCCCTCTCGTCTGCCCTCTCATCTGCCCTCTCGTCTGCCCTCTCGTCTGCCCTCTCGTCTGCCCTCTCGTCTTCCCTCTCATCTTCCCTCTCCTCTTCCCTCTCGTCTGCCCTCTCGTCTGCCCTCTCATCTGCCCTCTCATCTGCCCTCTCATCTTCCCTCTCATCTGCCCTCTCATCTGCCCTCTCATCTGCCCTCTCATCTGCCCTCTCATCTGCCCTCTCATCTGCCCTCTCATCTGCCCTCTCATCTGCCCTCTCATCTGCCCTCTCATCTGCCCTCTCATCTGCCCTCTCATCTGCCCTCTCATCTGCCCTCTCATCTGCCCTCTCGTCTGCCCTCTCATCTTCCCTCTCATCTTCCCTCTCGTCTGCCCTCTCATCTGCCCTCTCTTCTGCCCTCTCCTCTGCCCTCTCATCTGCCCTCTCATCTGCCCTCTCTGCCCTCTCATCTGCCCTCTCATCTGCCCTCTCATCTGCCCTCTCATCTGCCCTCTCATCTGCCCTCTCATCTGCCCTCTCATCTGCCTTCTCATCTGCCCTCTCATCTGCCCTCTCATCTGCCCTCTCATCTGCCCTCTCATCTGCCCTCTCATCTTCCCTCTCATCTTCCCTCTCATTTGCCTAATTGTGTGGGGACGGTTGGCCAAGGAACTGTGAGGGGGGTGATGGAGTGGGTGGGAGGTGGTGCAAGGGGGAGGGAGTGGGCGCAGGAGGAGCGAGGGGGTGGTGCAAGGGGAAGTGGGAACAGTGGAGGGGGGGTATGGGCAGGTGATTTGTGGGATAGGTTGCTGCAGAGAGGGGTGCTGCAGAGAGGGATGGTGCAATGAGGGGTGGTGGAATGAGGGGTGGTGCAGGGAGGGTTGAAGAACGGCTGGGATGAGGAACGGGGTGGTAGGAAGTTTGGAATGGGTGGGGAGCGAGGCATGGTGAATCCTTGCCAGCTGGTTCATCTTGTGTGCCCCACCCTCCAACCCCCAGGGCGTGTTCCTACGCTCTTTTCAGGCAAACCTCTTGTCAGCCTTGCCTGGTAAAAGTAGCGAGGGTTTTTTGGTTTAGGGAATTTTCAGTGTGTTTTGACGCGAGCTTGATAAGAGGTTGGCCTGATAAGGGGCCGTAGGAACACGCCCTCATTCGCACATCTGCGCTTCGCTTTTGTGTCCACAGAACACCAAATCCGCTCTTCCAGATCTCATGTCTGACTGTCTGACTCCTCTCTCATCCTCTCTGCTCCTTTCCCCCGCTCCCCTTGTCCGCCCCTGCCCTGGTCTACCCCTCCCCTCTACGCCCCTCGCCCATGAGGTGGTGCAGAGGTGCAGATAGCACCGGAGCATGTGGGGGGAGTCGTGGAACCACAAATACCCAAGTCATGATGCAGCTTTTGGCGAATCTTACCGCCATCGCCCAGTGTCGAATAGAAGACAGGGGGTGTCTTAGGATGTTTCTTATAGATGTGTGTTCCTGATTATTAGACACCTATATGCGGGTACGAGTTAAAACGGTGTCTTGTAAACATACTGGGGTTTCGGAGTTATCTCATAAACAAGGGGGTATCTATCGTAATCACCCAGATAAAAGACCCTAGGGTCTTATGAAAATTTCAACAAAATAACCTGGGGGGGTTTATACAGAGCAGGGCTCTCAATATCAGGGTAAAATGCCCTTTTTGCCCTTTTTGGCGGCCATTTTTTTCTAGTTACCCTTTCCTAGCAAGGGTATTGAGATTTTTACCCTAGGCCATATAGTGTAGAGATTTTTTTCCCCTTTGTGAAACAATGTGAGTTATTTTTTTCCCTGAGTGAACAGGGTACGGTTTCAGTTACAGTGAGGGCGTGTTCCTACGACCCCTTATCAGGCCAACCTCTTATCAGGCTCGCATCAAAACACACTGAAATTTCCCTAAACCCAAAAACCCTCGCTACTTTTACCAGGCAAGGCTGACAAGAGGTTTGTGTGATAAGAGCGCAGGAACACTCGTGTGCGTCTGCTTGTTGATGTGCTTTGGGAGTTGAATCAACTCAACCAACTGTCATAACATTATGCTGTGTTGCGTAGGCTGTAGTGGGGTAGCCTGTATGGGGTACAACCCAATTAGAGTTACTAGTACTTGTACCAAATTGTTTGCTTGTTCATCCATTCTCTGCTCATCAATTTCTAACATGGTTTCAGAGCAGTAGGTCCGTAGGACCGTTTTTTTTTTTTCGGGCCCATCATTAGCTTAGTGACCGACTGCAGTTACCGCGCTACCCCACGCCCTGCCCTGCCCTTTGCCACCCGCGCGCCGCCCCTGCAGCCCTCGCGCTGCCTCTGCAGCCCCGCGCGCTGCCTCTGCAGCCCTGCGTACCGCCCCTGCAGCCCTCACGCTGCCTCTGCCCTGCCCGCGCGCCCTGCCCTGCCCTACCCACGCGCCCGGCCCTGCCCTGCCCGCGCGTTCGCCTCTGCCCTGCCCACGCGCCTGGCTGTGCCCTGCCCGCGCGCCCTGCCCTGCCCCGTGCACGCCCTGCCCTGCCGCGCGCTGCGTCGCTCGTGCGCGCTAATCCAGCGCGCCGCGTCGCCCGTACGCCGTGCCCTGGCCCGTCGCGTCGCCCGTGCGGGCTGCCCCAGCCCGCCGCGTCGCCCGTACGCGCTGCCCTGCCCTGCGTCGCGCCGCCCGCGCTCGCCCTGCAACCCGCACTCGCCCCTGCGGCCGCGCTCGCCCCTGCAGCTCGCGCTCGCCCCTGCAGCCGCGCTCGCCCCTGCAGCCGCGCTCGCCCCTGCAGCCCGCACTCGCCCCTCCAGCCGCGTTCGCCCTTGCAGCCCGCACTAGCCCCTGCCGTCGCGCCGCCCTCTACAGCCCGCGCTCAGCCCCGCTGACTGACCGCCGGCCTACTGGGCCGCGCACCGCCCTTCGCTGGCCATACGCTCCCCTGCCCTACCCTACACGCTACCCTAGTGCCTGCTCGCAGCCCTGCCTTCTCTGAGTGCTGCCCTGCTGGTCGCACGCCTCCTCGGTTTGTCCGCTATGACTTCTCTTCATGGTAGCGGTGGGATTGGTGGCGGCGGTGGTGGCAGCAGTGAGAGTGGTGGCAGCAGCCGTAGTGGCAGTTGCGGTGGAGCTGTTCGGTGGGGAGTTTCTGGCGGTGGCCAGATGCAGCTGCAGCGGCGTCCGCGCGAGACCCTTACGCCCCAGCAGCTGCGCGAGTGGTACGCTAGGCGCAACCGCCTTCTGAGTGGCGCTGCTGGAGTTGGAGGCACTGGAGGTGGAGGCGCTGGAGCTGGCAGCGCTAGGGCTGGCGATGGCCTGGTGCAGCTGCAGCGGCGTCCGAAGAGACCCTTACGCCCCAGCAGCTTCGTGAGTGGTACGTTCAGCGAGGGACGTCTCGGAATATTGCTCACTGCCCGTACGTCATTCGCACAGGTGCTCGGGCTGGTCAGACTTGCGGGACAGTTGGCCACACACAGTCCCGCTCCTTAGCCTATCTGAGCGACACCTGGCGCGCAGAGTTTGGCGACGAGGCTGAGCTCCCCCGCTGGCTAGAGCTGCTACGACACAAAGTGGATACATTTTCTCTAGACTATGATGATATCCTTACTGCCATGTATACTTTGACTGTTGGTAGTGAGGGTGACTGTTACTTGTGTGTGCCGCCCGACCCAGGTATAGAGGCTGCTGCTCTAGGTGCTAGTGAGTCTGCTCTCTCTGATACTGCGCCTGCTGAGGCCTTGCACACCTTCACGTTTGACTCAGGTGCTTCTCGTTGTTTCTTTCGCGACAGCACCACACTCACACCACTCCCTAGACCCGTTGCAGTCTCACTGGCTGACCCCTCTGGGGGTCCGGTTCTTGCACGTTCCTCCACTGTGCTCCCGTGTCCGGCGGTTCCGTCCGGCTCGCTGTCAGGTCTCCACCTCCCCTCGTTCTCGACAAACCTGGTGAGTACCGCGGCTCTTCAGGATGAGTGGGTTGATACCTTTACCCCTAAAGGCCAGAGGTGGCGATCTGCACGTGCCCCCGGACGGGCCACCACCTGGCCACGTTCACCCGTCGGCCTGGATCGAGTCTGTACACACTGACTACTGAAACTCCTTAGATTGCTGCGTTTGGTCAGGTGGCCGCGTCCGGTCAGGTAGCTCCCCCCTGCGAGTGTCGTCACCTGTCGCACCAGACTCTCCTTTGGCACCATCGCCTTGGTCACCCCTCCCTGCCACGCCTTCGTGGCATGCACTCCCGCCTCCTTGTCACTGGTCTTCCCAGGTCTCTTCCTTCCCTCCCACCCTCGCCTGCCCCGCCCTCCATTCCTTGCGTCAAGGGGGCCTCCATTCCTTCCCTCCCACCCTCGCCTCCTTGCCCCTCCTCACTCCTCCTCGTGTCCCCCGATGACTGCTCCCCTGAAGACTCTCCACATGGACGTAAGGGGCCCAGCCCGCGTCACTGGACTGGGCCGCGAGCGGTACTTTCTGCTGGTTGTCGACGACTACTCGCGTTACACCACGGTCTTCCCTTTGCGCAGCAAGGGGAACGTCCCTGATGTCTTGATCCCTTGGATCCGAGCTGTTCGTCTCCAGCTTCGCGAGCGGTTCCGCACGGACCTCCCTGTCCTGCGTCTGCACTCTGATAGAGGTGGTGAGTTCTCCTCCGACCTCTTGTGGGACTTTTGTCAGAGGGAGGGCATCCTCCAGTCGTTCACGCTTCCGGCCTCACCGCAGCAGAATGGGGTTGCTGAGCGCCGCATCGGCTTAGTCATGGAGGTCGCTCGTACCTCCATGATCCATGCGGCTGCTCCCCATTTTCTGTGGCCGTTTGCGGTCCGGTACGCTGCGCATCAGCTCAACCTCTGGCCCCGTGTCTCCTTGCCGGAGACCTCGCCCACACTGCGTTGGACGGGGGAGGTTGGCGATGCGTCGCGGTTCCGGGTCTAGGGCTCTCGTGCCTTTGTCCGCGATACCACCGCGGACAAGCTCTCCTCTCGCGCCATTCCCTACGTCATCCTTGGCTTTCCCCCTGACGCGCCTGGCTGGCAGTTTTACCACCCCACCTCGCGCCGTGTCTTCCCCTCTCAGGACGTCACGTTTGACGAGTCGGTTCCCTTTTACCGTCTCTTCCCCTACCGCACTGCCCCTCTCCCCCCCCCGCCGCTCTTCCTCGCTCCAGGTCCCCCTCCGGTAGACCCCCTCCCCCCTCAGGGTCCTGCTCCTTCAGGTGTGTCTCAGGTAGACCCACTTCCCTTGGCTGAGCCTGTCGAGGTCACTGGTGACTCAGGTGCTGCTGGGGGTGGTCCTGCTTGACGTGCTGTGTCTGGGGGTGCTGAGCCTGCGGGTGCGGAGCCTGGGGGTGCTGAGCCTGACCGTACGTAGCCTGGGGGTGCTGAGCCTAGGGGTGCTGAGCCTGGGGGTGCTGCGCCTGAGGGTACTGAGCCTGGGGGTGCTGAGCCTGGGGGTGCTGAGCCTGGGGGTGCTGCTTCTGGGGGTGCTGAGCCTGGTGGTGCTGCGTCTGCTGGTGGTCTTCCAGGAGCCTCGCCGCAGTGGTCTCCCCGGCGTGAGCCCACCTCACCGTAGCAGCTGCGCGAGTGGCTTGCCTGGCAAACCCGTCTTCGGATTCGCGTTGGAGCTGGAGGCACTGGAGCTGGAGGTGCTGGAGCTGGAGGCACT